ACCCCTTAAAAGGAATGACGCCAATTTTGAATCACCCTGTATTGGCCACTTTGGGCTTGGACGAGAAGGGGGAGATGCGGTATCGCTACTTGAACAACAAAACTATATTTTGCCTCAATACCTTTTTCAAAATACTCAAACAACGTAACTGGACCTGAAACAGCCCAGACGGAACAACTAGAAACGACACAGACTATATTCTCTCCAGTTAGAATAAAATATGCACCGACGTGACAGTAGCGAACAAATTTTATATGGAATGAATAAAGACAAACCTGAAAACAGAACGCAACCAACTGATTAAACAAGAACGTTATCCACCATCGGAAACTCTGACACAGAAACAAATTGAAAACCAAAATGAATTAGAAACAAGACTAGCACCAATAGAAACAATTAGAAAAATCTAAATAAACTAACCAGCCCCAAAAATAAAAGAAACCATAAACACATCAATTAAAAAAGTATGCTCACAAACAAAAATAAGTAAAACCGTCAAGCTCCAACCTAGTACCCAGGAATGACGTTAATATGACGTCATTTATTGGGCATTTTTGGTCTTGAACGTCATTGGACAAGTATCTGAAGGCATAAAGACGTCATATGTCGGACGTCCAAATGTGAAACATTCGGAAGTCTTTCAATATAATGCCTGGAACGGATAACGACAGATCAGGTGTACCTGTTGTTTGTGCGGGAAATCTCCGTTATTTTCACTGGTTAGTTTGTACTATCCTTTAGTGAATATTAGTAGTGATTCAGTGAAAATAACGGGTAAGTAATCCAACCACTTGTTATTAGGTTCAGCTAATTTTTTGGCCACCCGTTAAAAGTTCCAATACTTTAGGATTTGGAACATCGGATACATCGGCTTAGGCACTTTAGATTCTAGTGAATCGGGACGAAGTGATATCAGTATAAAAATATATTTTAAAAACATTTATTATCTTTCTAGTTTTTAGGTTAACTTTTATATGTTAGTAAAGAACTTTTGTAGTCCGTTTATATTAATTTTATATACTAAACTCCCAAATCATTATTCCTACAATTTACCATTTTTGAGACAGATAAAATCTGGATGTATTAGAGCATCTGTCTCTATCTATATAAAGGTTCACCTTAGCGGTTAATTTACGTTTTTGCATTCGTCATTTAAGCGTCTTTATGACTCGTCATTCAGACGTCTGAATAACTAGTCATTTAGACGTCATAAAGCAGTGACTTACTTACGTCAGTTGTACGTCTAGCTAATTGGTTCATGGACCAATATAGTCATCTAGACCAAAAATGTTACCTAGGTACCTACCGTCAAACTTCTCAGTGAGAGGCGAGAAAAGTAAGATCGAACAACAGAGAGTTTTAAGACTTTAAACAAGGAAGGGAAAAGAAAGTATGAAAGGATAGTAAAAACTGTACCGACAAACATAAAAGACACAATAAGTGAAAAGTACTACATGATGAAAAATGAAAAAATTATAAAATAAAAAACGAGAAAATCGTGATCGTCCAAGGCAGAAACGAGATAAGCACGTTGTCTTTTTATGGACCATGTCCTTTCAGAACGTTGGTTACCAACAACGCTAGCCGTACTTTGTCCACGGCAGCTCTAAAGAGATAAGCACAGTCATAGAAAAATTCTACATCAAGCTATACTCGCCTAGCATACAACAACAACGAACTGAAAGAAATATACTTAACATCGGTTCAGCGRAAATACCTGAAATAACTAACATAGAAATAAGAATGGCACTCAGTCAGCTAAAAAACAATAAATGTGCAGRAGGGGACCGGATTACTGTAGAGATGCGGAAAATTGGCGGCAGAARAATATAACAAATACTAAAGATTYTATTTAATAAAATAATAAAAGAAGGAAAGATCGCACAAGATTGRTATAACTTAGAAGTAATCCTAATACTCGAAAAAGAAGGCAATAGAAATATTGAAAACTACAGACCAATATCTATRTTATCACACCTTTAGGAGCTGTTAACCAAAATATTAACCTACTTGAGSATCACAGACCACCTACAGACCATAAGAACATTAGTAKAAAAGTGCACCGAGTGCACTTTTCTTCAATGTTCASGTCAAKAATAATGTTAGACATAATCAAATTAAAATAATTTTTTWATTAATTTTATTGATTAATAAATTAATCAAAATAATGTTAGTGTGCCGCTCCGTGTGGCTTTTGTAGATTTCCAAAAAGCATTTGACTTCATCGAAATATGGGCAGTGTTAGAAGCCCAATAAAACGCCAGAATTGATTCAAGGTATACGCATATCATAAAGAACATCAGACGGACAAATAAAACTGGACGAAAAAAACAAAAACAAACCCCATAAAACTGCAACGAGTGGTGAGGCAAGGAGACACTTTCTCGCCCACACTATTCACCCTCGTACTAGAAGATATTTTTTTAAGAAATTATAAGGGACATCAAAGGTGCAAACATCGACGGAGTATACCTAAATTATTTCCGATTTGCGGATGACATAATCTTAATAGCAAATAATCTGCAAGAATGAAACAAGAAGCTACAACAACTCAATGACGTATTCGCTACTGTAGGCCCTAGAAATAGTTGTAAGAAAACAAAAAAATATATCTACGAACAAGCAAACATAACCATACTAAATAAAACTTTCAACACTCGACACACTGAAATAAATTAACTATCGTTTCAAATTTGATCATACCATTAAAGCTACCGCAGTAGCAAAAGCTTAGAAAATGAAACTATTGAACTGTATCTCGTAAACAAAGCGTTTGTGGAAAATTTGGTTGAAGACTGAAGAAGAATCGTACTGTATGTATCTATATTTAAGCATATTTTTTCAAAAGCCAACTCTATATAGGTATCCATATGTCACTCACGATAACTATTTTATCACAACAACTTTATCACAATTACAATGTGATACCTATGTTTTATTATGCTTACCACTCACCCTAAAAAATCTACAATACAGGGCGTTTAAAGGAGGCTGATCCATTTAGTAATATTCGTGTTTAACCGTCCGGTCAGTTCAAGTAGAGTACGATTACCCATGCTTCTGCAAATATCTGCGAGAATGCATCGGAATGAAATTTACTAAGAGCCTAAAACTTATTGTTTTTTGATGTCTTGGATCTATGTTAGCAGATCAAATCAACGTATATTTCATACCCCATATCTAAATAATTCGTTTTCGTTCTAGATCGACGACATCAAGATGATACTATATCTGGACCACTTCCCAAGGAAAGTCCAAAATCGAAAGTCTAGAAACGCACAAAGAACCAACCCCAGACCAATAAGATGTTATGTGTTTGCATGTTTTAATGAGCATAACTTTTATAGCGATGTAGACCATCCTTTAATAAATGTCTTTTGCGGACGCAACTCATTCGTACAGGATTATGGATTGCCATCATTTCTCTGTTCTACTGAACTTCAAATTTTAAATCAACTTACTACTTGTTCAAGTCATTTGGACAAGTCCTAAAGTGGGACGACAGAAAAAATTAATACTCAATGTCTTTTAGGAATCGACTTAATTTTGGATCACACCCGCAAATTAAGAATGTTGAAGAGCCCCAGAGCTTTACAAAGGGACTATCAATAACGGACGCACATTTATAATCAAGCAAATAAAAGAAAAGACTATACAGGGTTGCTCATTAGTGCGTCAAAGTGCGATATCTCAGTAAATATGAAGTTTACAAGAAAATTCGTCCAACGAAAGTTTTTCACGTTTAAAAGGTCAACATTCTAAAATTACCTTCCAATATACAGGGTGCATCATAAACGTGTGGTTTTTAAAAAACCAACTCTGGTTTTTTAAATAAAACCCCCCCTTTTTTTTGTTATTTTCAGATTGGCCGTTCAATTTTAATTTATGTTTGTTTCAACCGTTTTACCTGAAAAATTTACGA